TATGTGACTGCAAGTGGCCAAGAATGCACAATTAGACAAATGTTATAAGTATTCATCTCTTTGGCTGGCTTTAAATATTTCAGATGGGAATAAACGACTTCTCATATCTTCATCATTTACAAAAACACTGTGGATCCTTGCAAGTAGACGAGTGGTGAGAAAAAAGCAGCACTGAGAGAGAGAGAGAAAGAGAGAGAGAGAAAGAAAATAAGAGCCTGACTGAAATGCAGCAAGAGAGGCAGCGCAACATTTATTGAGTGTGTCCAACTGAGCGCTAGCCTAGTTTGACTGTAGAGAGAGAGAAATGTTTGCAACAGAGGGGGCTCTGCATAGTCCACGGGTCTGTGGAGATTTGCTTACATTGAAGAGATGGTGGAGGTAAGATGGCTCAGAGGATTCAGGCACCGCTGAACGCAGGCTTATGTCTAATAATCAGCAGGGAGGGACTCACCATGGTCCCTCAGAAAAAGAGACAGGGAGAGTGCGATAGAGAGAGACACAGAAAAAACAGAGCAGAGGAAAGATTGAAGGCGGAGAAGAAGCAAGTACAAGATCTAGAAGGAGTTGAGGGAGAGAAAAAAGGAGAGAGAAAAAGACATGTCCCTGTGGCCACGTTACTTCTCTCTTGCGATGGCTTTTATGCATATGAGAAGAATTTAGATAAGATTTTGCTGCTTTACATATTTTCACCCTTATTAGCTCTTAAAGTCATTTGGAAATATTGTTGAGAAAATGAATTACTAACCTACAGAATGACACTCGGCCAATCCAAACTTTCAAGGTCATCTGATAAGACGTCTCATTAACATTGTATTTGTTAAGTTTTTTTTTTTGGTTTTGTTTTTTTTTTTTAATTTGGATGACATTGTTAAGGTTGTAGTGGTTTTGCAGGATGCATTTTACAGTCACATGTATCTCAGGGCCAGACTGATAAAACTCACTGCTGACGCTTCTGTGATTTTTGCCAGCTGTTCCAGATTACAAAGTACAGTCATTTATGGCGCTTACCGGCATCATCACCAACAGAAAATCCTCATCCATTAGCACGGACTGAACACTCACACATGCCCGTGTTTGCCACGTAATACAGCAAGCGGGCGATCCAAAGCGCAGCCACGTCATGTTGCTGTCTCTCTGGTGACGCAGCATCGGCTCGTTAATATCACCAGTTCATCCGTGTCGCGGTTGTCAAAACATGGCTTAAACTTATGTGTGTTTGTTTGAGCCTCTGTGTGTGTTTGTGTTGTGTGTAGCCTTGTCTGTGTGTGTGTGTGTGTGTGTGTGTGTGTGTGTGTTGTGTTGTGTGGTGTTGTGGTGTGTAGTGTGTGGTGTAAATTGCCTCTCTAACTATTCGTGGTCATTAAACCCCAAGGTCAAGCTCCCCCCCATCCCCACCCCCAAAAGCCACTCCACAATCCAGGGCCTGAACCGTATGCCCGTTTAACAGGTGTCTAGTGAGGGGGCAGCACAGTCGAGGTCGGCGAACAGCAGCACAGAGGCGGCTGCAGAGCGGCGCGACAGCACTTTAGCAGGGGCCCAATGAGTGATTACCTCGGAGCTCCAGTCATAATTCAGCGTGACCTCAATCTGCCAGCAACGCTATGGTTTGATGGATCTGCTCACAGTTTTGGTGTCGGGTTCTCGCATGTCAAACACAGGCAGATAATGATAGGGCTATCTGTTGCTCTTACAAAGTAAAAAACATGCTAGATATGAATGTGACACACATGTTGGTGGTGTTGCATCGTGCCCTTCCTCTTTAATTCGTCTGGATATTGAGTGAGGAAATGTTCACTTCGCAGTCGTCAGTGTAGATACTGAAGAGAAAACAGTGTCACAAATGGTTAACCCCCATCATGATGATGCCTGTCGTCTGCCGCTCTATTCATCATTGCTGCTGCTTATCAATCAAAGTCAACACAAATACACGTGGGCTCACTGACACACACACACACACACACACATATTGGCTACACCTCCCAGTGTGGATAATTAGTGGATTCCCTCAGTGGGTGATGGAGCCTGTGCTCTTCTCTACTCTTTCTCTGACCTTCCCCAGTGAGCTTCCTTCCTCAGTGGGGCTCATCACACACAGCTCTAATACATATTTATCGGTCCAGTGACAGCTCATGTGCGCTGGATTTATATGTTTCTCAACAAACAATGGTAAAGCCTCGGTCACTCTTCCACCCTTTCATCAGCCAAAGCGGGGAAATAAATCAAGTAGTGTCAACCTGGCTGCAGCCTCCTCAGCAGCTGGACCATCTGTGGGTTTGGGTGCACAGGCAGACACGGGGAGCAAGCCTGGTCGCATTCAAGCCGCTCTCCTCAATTACGACAAACGGATTTGATATACGTATGTCTGTCAAATTGCCTTGGCAATCACAGGAACTGCTCTGCTGGCAAACGTTTTCCTAGAGCAACTTCTGATCAAAGACGTTTAGAAAGTGGCTGTGCCATTGCTGGCGGCATTGGGATTCAGGACAGACTCCCTGCACCATGACTGGCTCTGTTTGCACAGCGCAATCCGAGTTGAGATGTGAAGAGAGGCAATACCACTAAAGAGTGAGGGGAGGGGACAGGAGGGAAGAGGAGGAGGAGAAGGGAGGGATGGTAGGATTAAGCCCCAGCCGCCACCACCACCACCCCCCCCAACCCCCCTCTCCCCCCCTCTGCGTCAGAGCGGCCATCTTTCATCTTACGGCTGCTCCTCTAATGCTTTCAAGTGGGTGAAACCCTCGACATCTGCTTCCGCTCCCTGGGACACGGCACAGGCCACCGTCCTGCAGAGATGCACAACCACAGGACAGCTCAAAGGGGCAGCGTCAGGGCAAGGCCACAGAGAGCTGCTAGTCTCATCCACGTAGAAAAAAGGCCCATGCTGCAGAGGCACAGAAAAACAAACAGGATTTCTTGCACTGAGGCTAAATCAAAACTTATATTCAGACATTTATTGAAATCGTCACTGTAGACAGCTTTCAGACCCAAAAATCATTGTTGAAATACAAAAATTGTGGCTTATACTAGTAAACACACTCACCACAGAAACATTTCACAGTTCACTCACCCAGACACATTAATTCTACTTACTACTTGCGAACAAATAAATGTAAATAGCTCTGTAAATAAACACTTCATCTTCGCCAAGAAGAAATAAGCCCCCCGCCGCCTCTGATTAAGACTACCAAAGTGATATATCTGGCACTTAACTCTGCTGTTTACCTCATAAACACAAAGACTTCAACACAGCCACCCACACTGACGCTGAAATATCACAAACCGAGAGTGCCTGCTTGCGTGTGTCTCTGCTGGTCTTTGTGGCTTTAATGTTGAATCATCTAATGACTTTTTTTTTTTTTTTTTTTTTTTTTTTTTTTTTTTTTTTTTTTATTTATTTATTTATTTTTATTTATGCGTGCCATTCTGGGAGTGTTTCATCCGCTATGGTTTTCAATATCATGAGTTCAGTGGATTCCCTCGACTCTGGCAGTGATAGTGCCATGAGCAATAAAGCGGCGTGGTCAAGTGGTAGGAGCTTCGCCTCTGATTTTCTCTGAGATTGGTAAAACAGCACTTGTGAATTCATATCAGATGGACGGATGAGCGGTGCTGTCAACGCAGAGATAGCTAGGTATCGGCGATGGTGTGAAGAAGGCCTACCCGAGAGAAAGGATGTCATGTCACCTACACATTACTGTCTGTAAGGAGAACTTTTTTTTTTTTTTCAAAAGGGGACGTGATTCAATTATTTCTGATGAAATTATGTTTGTTATTTGGGATCTGTTCCTTGTGGTGAAAAGTAATTTTAGATTTCCTTCATATTGCACTGCAATTGAAATGTAATTTAGTTTGTGAGAGCACCCCATCAGACTTGTAGATTTGTTCGGCTTGGTTTCTGAACCCTCTCCACCCCCAACCGCCCACCCACCCACACACACACACACACACACACACACACACACCTATGTAGATTCAGGTGGCCTGTTGACTCTCAGTGCAACATGTGTCTATTCCTGTACATCACAAGCAGGGAACCGTGGTCTTCTATTCAGTTTGGCCTCCTTTCATTGTGTTCCACCATGTTGCATTGTATTGCCAGGTGAATATGTGCAGCTCCATTCCCTGTGCAAATGTAGGGAGTAGGAGTCGAGTTTTATTTAAAGCAATCCACCCACAAACTCCTGAAGAATTTAGTGATCTTTCAGGTAAAAAAAAAGAAAAAGAAAGACTTTTAACTTACACGAGGCATAACTGATGCAGATGTACTGTGTGTGTGTGTGTGTGTGTGTGTGTGTGTGTGTGTGTGTGTGTGTGTGTGTGTGTGTGTGTGTGTGTGTGTGTGTGTGTGAATGTGTGAGATGACTGCAAGGAGAACCCGTGTGTATAATTGCAGTGTTTGAGGTTCATCCAATTTCAGATACCTTGAAAAGTACATTAACAGGAGCAGGGCACAGGGTTCATGTATTCAAGAACACTTAAATTGGACTCTTTTTTCATTTCATACAGGGAAAGAAATTGATGCTTGGTATGGTATAGTATGTATAGTATGGTATAGTATGTATAGTATGGTATAGTTTGCTTTGCCAGGTTTGATGTATCCACTGTTTGCAACAAAGGCTACAGAGCCACACTGGCAGCATCTGCTCCAGACAAACATACAGGGACTATTACCGAGCGAGCGTATAGAGATGGATGGAAGAAGGGAAAATGACAGACAGAGAGCTGATTCCCTCCTCTGTCTGCGAGCTGTCTGTGAGACCAGGCCATCTGCACATTCATTATCACAGCCATGATTCCATTATTGTTCTGTGTGGCAACAAGGACTCGTACTGTCTGGCCTTTGTTATTCTTATCAACTGTGTAGCTGACAGCCCCCTTTTGATCATGGCAGCAACGAAATTAACAACTATCATGTACTATAAGACATAAGTGAATTATCCTCCATAATATAACGACACACTGAACATCACCCTGTCTCTTCTTCCTGTGTCCTTGTGCAGGTCTGTTCCACAGAGCCATCATTCAGAGCGGGTCAGCCCTCTCCAGCTGGGCGGTGAACTACCAGCCGGTCAAGTATACGCGTCTCCTTGCAGAGAAGGTGGGCTGTAATGTCCTGGACACCTTAGACATGGTGGACTGTCTGAGGAAGAAGAGCTCCAGGGAGCTGGTGGAGCAGGACATACAACCAGCGAGGTACCACGTGGCCTTTGGACCTGTAATAGACGGCGATGTTATCCCCGATGACCCCGAGATCCTGATGGAGCAGGGCGAGTTCCTCAACTACGACATCATGCTGGGGGTCAACCAGGGTGAAGGGCTGCGGTTTGTGGAGAACGTGGTGGATTCAGAGGACGGCGTGTCTGGGAATGATTTTGATTTCTCCGTCTCGGACTTTGTGGACAGCCTGTACGGGTACCCAGAGGGCAAGGACACACTGAGGGAAACCATTAAGTTCATGTACACAGACTGGGCAGACAGAGACAATCCAGAGACCAGGCGCAAGACGCTGGTGGCTCTGTTTACCGATCACCAGTGGGTAGAGCCATCGGTGGTGACGGCTGATCTCCACGCTCGCTATGGCTCGCCCACCTACTTTTACGCCTTTTACCACCACTGCCAGAGCCTGATGAAGCCTGCCTGGTCGGACGCCGCCCACGGGGACGAGGTGCCCTATGTTTTTGGAATTCCTATGATTGGTCCCACTGACCTTTTCCCCTGCAACTTTTCAAAGAACGATGTCATGCTCAGTGCTGTGGTGATGACATACTGGACCAACTTTGCCAAGACTGGGTGAGTACAATGACTAACTTATTTTTCATCACTTATACCAACCAAGAATGGGTATCATTTGGATTTTATCAATACCAATCCTTCTTATACTAATTGGTACTCCTTTCTTAATATTGATGAGATTAAAATGTATGATTTTAGCAGCCATCTGATACATGCGCACAAGTAGCTAGTTGCTTCAAAAACACATGACATATCAGAAGTGAGGAAGAATTTGAAAATAAATGGCTTACAATTAAAAGCAGAGTTTCTTGATTTTGACCATGCTACCGTATTAGTGTTAGTATCAAAACAGTTTTAACTGTCGGTGCTGTGGAGTTGTTTCACCTGACTTGAAGTCGACCTCTTGAGTTGTTCTGGGTGATGGCGCTGCTTGCTAACTCCAGCTGGTGGTGGAGAAATGACTCGCTGCACTGATTGTTGTTGCACACAGCTGTTACACACATAGGGTTAGCTTTGTTTCTATTTCGGTTTGCTACAGATAGCTCACTCTTCAGACTACAGTAACAGTAGGAAATGCCAAACATTAAATGAATGAATGACTGATGTTCAGATACTGAGCTGCTGCAGGATCCTATCAGTATTACAGATCTGACCAATCAGGAACCAGTACCAATGTAAAACAGGTCCTTGGTATCCATCCCAGATCCCAGTTAGGATGAGACAGCTGTTTGTATCATGGGTCTAACAATAGTAGCAACACAACATATTCACACATATCATTTGCTAATATTTTAAATGAATTAAACAGCAGCACTTTCACATTAGTAAAACCAGTGATCACACAATTACAAACTTGCTAAGTTATTAATAGGAAGTAACATAGAAACGTCCTATCTCAGTCCTATTTAAAGTACTTCTGTACTACAGAAAAAGAAGCAGCAGGAAAATGGAAGCCCTACAATGGATAGTATGGGACAGAAAAGACATTTTTCAGCAGAGACATTTTTTTCAGGGGTGTTTTTTGCCTGGACTTGCTGGGTCTCAGTCTGAAAACCTGAAACATATTGAATCTGAGGAAGATTAAATGTTCCTCCAGAATGTGTGCCGTGCTATTCGTGCTTGGCTGACTGTTTGGGCTGAGTATGTGTGTGTGGCAGTCTGCCTTTCTGTATACTTCTGTGTGTGTCTGTGTGTGTGTGCGTGTGTGTGTGGCTGGAAATACTATCTATGCTCTATTATGCCGAGGCCCAAAAGACACAGAGACTTATCAGGGAGGCATATCAAACTCTTGCCCTCGGCGGTATCGATTCCCTCGGCCTGGACCCAGTCGATCACTCGTGCCCTGGGTGACTCCCGCTCCCCACCATGCTCAATTTCACCCCCACCCCTCACAAAGCCTGGCCATTTTGTATGACTACTAGTAATCATTTCTAACAACCGAAATTTAATTTGACAATCCCTGTTACCAGAGAGGTATTGATCCCATCCTGAATGGGATGCAGTCTGAAATCTTGTTCTGTTTTTTTATCTGTCTCTATATCATCTGCTGTCCAATCAGGTGGCATTTACATCCAGTCGTCTGGCTGATAGGATGGGCCCCAGGCCGCTGCCTCTGCTAGATCCTTGAACTGCTAATGGCAGACTAGTGCAGATGGACTGATGTCGGCTGTTTTGCCTCCTCAAGGAAAGCACTGAGGTCCATCAGTGATGCTCGGACTAAACAGCTGTCTCCTCTGCCTGGCAGCCATCTTGTGTCAACACATACAAAGCTGCAATTTGTAGATACAGATGGAATTGACTACTTGTCCTTCCAAGAATATTATCAGCTGTTATAAAAAGAGAGGTTGTGTTTAATTTTAATGAGAAAAGTTTGAGGCCTGAAGGTAACAACGCACAGTGCTTATGTACTGAATCACTCTGAACTTGGATCTTGCCATGTCAGTGAAATTAATTCTGACGGACGACGACAGCCTTCCCCGTGTTACCTATAAACCACTCAGATTCAACACAGAGCCATGGACAATGAGCTTGCTGTAACCCTAACCTGGCGATTACCCTCAAAGCAGCTGAAGTCGAAACAACAAATTGCTCTTTACTGCTGATCAGATATCAGTTTTTTAGATCTCCACATCACTGATTGATCAAGCAGAGCGGTGGGAGGGTGGGAACTGCTTCTAGAGCCATGTTTGCCCTGTTACGTGTAGTATCCACCCTATAGTGTGTTGCCTTGGCGTAACTCCAGACAAGGGGATTACAGTCAGACCACAATTAGGATCTCAGATGGTAAAGAGCCTGGGATTAGATCCCAGGATAATAGAAAACTCAATGTGCTGGTCCAAAGGATAATTTTACTCCAGCCCAAGTAAAGGAATCTACCATAAACTCTTCAGGGGGGGTTGAAGATGTTAGATATTTCCCATAGATTCTTAAGTCCATCCTCCTCATTCAAACCACACTAGGGGATAAAGATCTCTCCTCCAACACCACCCAACACAGTCTGGCTATAGAGAACATCCTTTTAATTAAGACCCAGTTGTATTGCCTTCGCCTTCGTGGCCTGTCCAACAGCCCTCTTCCCTATATCTGCAAAGCAGCTCTCGCTCCCCTTCCAGATGTTCGTAATGAACTGACCCAGATTGCACTTCCTGCCTCCGTCTCTAAATCGTTGTAGAAACACGTGTGACACGATGTTGAGACACTTGGGCTGCATGTCAACAGTGTGTATCATAGCAGCGAGCTAGAGAGCCGCGTCGCCCATGCCCCCCTCCCCTCCCCCCCAAAAGCTCTTCCTGTCTCTAGCTCTCATGTGTCATCTTTACAGGGCAAATCCCTGCCCATGCGCTTTTTTTTTTTTTCTCCATCAGTGTCAGTGAAGCATAAAAGCATACAGAGAGTGCACGCTGTCAAATCTTCTTAGTGTGTGTGTGCGCATGTGTGTGCGAGTGCGATTGTAAGAGTGTGTGTTTACACTACGAGGCTGTTCTTTCCTGAGAGTTAGGGATGTTTCAGAGGCGGGGGATTTACTCAGCTCAGAGTTATTTTTCTGGCTGCAACATTTGTTTTACTATTGACAGGCAAAATTGGCTTGCGCTTTATTGCCACAACAGCTTCTTCGGCACAGTTTCTCCAAAACTTTTTTGCCAGACTTCCGAACCTTCTCAAACACGAACGGTATAGCACAGCAACACAGCACAGCAACACAGCGGACACACAGGCAGAGCACCTCAGAAAAGACAGAGTGATGAAAAGCCCAGAAAAGATCAATCATTATATATCATTAGTGCTGTAAATATGTTGGTCCATCTTCCCGCTTCTTTTTTTTTTTTTCCCTGCTGGCTGATGCTCATTTCCCCTGTTCTGTGTGTGAGCTGCGCCACATGCTGTGCTGGGCCTTGCTAGGTAGTTAAAGAGCAGAGCGTTGTCATGTGCTGATTTTTTTTTTTTTTTTTTTTTTTTTCCCTCATTCTCCTCCACTGCTCTTCCATCCTCCTCTCTCTCTCTCATTATTCTACACAAAAACAGAAAGGCTACTCATGTATTACATTCACAACATGAGCTAAAATATGCAGTATTGATTGCGTTGTCTTTAGTGACAACATCTGCCGACCAAACAAATGAAGATAGGAGTAACTGCAGTGTGTCTATAGTGAAGTTTAACAGCCAGCACTTTGATTCACAACTCTGCCAGTTGATTTTTTTTTTTTCTTTTGTTTTCCATCCGCTTGTCAATCGAACACCCCTCCTCTGCAGAGTTAACGACAAGTATACATCAACTCTTTCTCCCATCTGACCTCATTCACACACTGTTTCAGCCTTTTTCTTACCCCAGCTGTCTAGTAGTTACATCACTCATCTCTGATCCCCCTCCTTGTCCTTTCTCCCTGGATTATTCCCCGTTCCCTTTGGTTTCCTTCGTTAGGGCCAACTCAACCTGCACAAGGAGTCTGTGAATGCTCGGCACTGCAGAATAGCACAGCCCCAAACAGCCACCTACCTACTCCATTAAATAGGCACTCACTTGATAGGAGATTTGTAGCCAATATCCTGATTTGCATTAGAGAAGGTAAGGAAGTGGTGTGGCTTGTTAAGGGGCCTGGATGCCATTGATCGGTGTCCATGCCGTGCGCTGAATGTAATGAGGACGACAGCAGGGGGAGGAGGTGAAGAGGAAGTAGATCCGCATGTGTACATCCATAAGTAAGTGGTTGTCAGATTAAAACGGGGATGAATTCTAATAGGCTAATATTAATGTTAAGTAATTAAAATGAGAAATTTAGAAGTGGTAGAAAGCTGCTAATTGGTTAACAGGGAGAGAAAGGAAATCGAGGGAAGTTGCGGGAGGAGGAGGGAGGTGTTTTGCTTGCTGCCACTCAGCTAATCAAACAAATCAATAGCATCCATAATAAGGAGCGGTCCGAGCGCTGTGTCCTCCAACACTTCTGCACGCCCCAAAGTCACAGCGCCTCGCCCTGCATCATTTAGCCTGCTGAACCGAAGGCTGCCATTAAATATGAACCACGCATCACTCAGCCCTCTGCCCCAGCATGCAGCCACATGAAGGGTAAAAGAGCACAGCCTGACAATTTGCCCACTCAGTGCTGAAGTTGCCCCCCTACGTCTTGCCAAGACAAAGTCTGCAAACAGAATTAGATTGAGTTTATTTATTAAAAAATTTAAAGGGTTTTGGGAACCTTCTGTCGGAGTGAAAATTACAATTAGCTGCTTACTTTGTGTTACCTAGTAAGTAGATAAACAACTGCAGGGGATGAATTTGTTACACAACAGTAACAACTGAAAAAAAAAAAAAAACAGGATTCAACTTTGCATATTTTGGCAGCTTAGCAAAATGAGCATCAGTGGATCACTGAATTAATGCATGTACCTTGTTTTATATTGAGAAACTATACTCCGCTGAGGATTCAGAGACCTTGAGTGTAGTGAAAATAGATTCTTGTCTTCTGCCTTAGGGCACCTAAACGTGTCTTTTCAGATTTGGTGATGGCTAGGTCTATGATCATTCAAGCGCTTCAAATTACATCAGGATGAAAAGGGGAAGG